TAGATACTATAATCTAATGAGAACGAGTGGGGGGAAATGCTGCAGCTAATGACAGCAGGGATGAGAGGAACCAAAATGTATGGTAGCAATAAAAGAGATTCAAGTGCCCCATGCCAAAAAAAATGGTACAGTTTTAGTACACATCTAATGAGGCTTCCCAAAGAAGACCAACGACATGAGTACCATTCACCATATACCAAAGAAAGGCTAGATGGTCCAAGAAAAACCCAGATAATGTCATTTCCTATAGCTCAGCTTACAGCACCACCGCCCTGGCAACAGTACTTAAAAATGCATGCCTGCTTCCATTGATCCTTGTTATCATAGTGCCATCTTGACAACATGTACTTATAAATTTGTGCATATGCCTCCCCCAGCTGACAAATGCAGAAACCTTGACATCCATCTGAGTTACAACCTCAGGATCAAGTGCAATGCATAGCACAAAGTAGGTGCTTATTTTCTGAATGAGTAAGAGATGGATGAACAAAGAGAGAGAATTTTTTTTTTTCCTGAGCTAGTAAAGCATACCTAAATCCCTGTTCTGAGTGAAAACAGAGCCCCTCTCGTGAGATGTTTATCATCACTGAAGGCCTCTAATGTAACCCCTGAGGCTACAAGACAGACTGGCAGAGGTTCTGCAACACCCTTTCCTTTTTCTGTGACATGCTTGGCACAGTATAATTTCTCACTCTAAGAAAATAGGAAGGGAAACAACAGTAATTCAAACAGTCAACAAGAATCAAAGGAAATCACCGTGAAAGCGTCAAGTATATGCTGGAATCCAGCACCTGAGAAACAAGGCCAGTCTCAGCAGGACGGTAAGCAATCATGGTTAAATGAACAATCCTAAGTAAACTGTCCTAACCAAACCACTACTCTCCTGTCTGCCAGGATTGAGTATTGAATTATAAGGAGTTTTTAAAGAATCAGAAAAACACACAGCATTCTTTGGCATTGCATTGAGGAACACCTTTCTAAACAAGATATAAAACTAGAAATAATTTAAAACCACTAACTTGACTACCTTTTTTAAAAAACAATGTAACATTCTATTTGGCAAAACAGCATCAATGTAACATTGAAGCCTAATATCAAATCACATAGCACACAAGAGAAAAAAAAACCACCCACCCACACACACACACACACACACACACACACACACACACACACACACACGTGTACATATGTCTATATCAATGCAAAGTTCTTAGAAGTGACATAGTATGGTTTGCTCTGAGGATGAAGATTGCACATAAACTGCAACTCACTTTTCTTCACCTCCAGCTAAGGGTTAAGGATGGGGAGAGAGTGTTAGTCTAAGCTTTTGGCCACACAGAACAGCCCCCACTTCAAACACAAACATTCTTGGCAAGGGTCCAGAAAGAGTCAATCATTTCCCTCCATCCATCATTCAAGGTTGAAATAATCACTGGGGTTTAAAGCCTGGTGCTATCTTACTGCCAGTAGACACAATCTACTACTAAGCAAAATTGAATGCTGCCTGGATTATACTGCACAAAGTATTGGAATGGCAGACTTAATGATATATATAATCAAAATATATGAAGCTACTATAAACATTCAAAAAATGAGAAAACTATTAGTTACTGGTACACTGTTTATGGCAGGTCTGGGACTGCCATATATGACCTGACAGTAGAGGGGAATACTCAGAAGGCTTGGCTGCTTAGGAAAGGCACAGTGGTCTTAATAAAAGTCACAGTGCCAAAGACAGAACCTTCTCTGATGATCAAACAGTTCAGATTCTCAAAGAGTGGACAAAATAAAATAAACCTATTTCTGAGTCTGCTTTCACCCAGATATCATGCTCAGTATTTGCCACCTGACTGTCAAGGCCAAGTTCATGAAGAGTGCTGTTCCTACTGGATTTCCATAGGGGGAGTATCTGACTATGAAGCTGTGATTGGTGTGAGTTCCATCTACAGCACAGCTCAGTTTCAGACCACAAATGATCACTGGCTTTTGTCCGGTCTCAGGAAGAGGTGTAGGTCATCACCCACGCCTCAGTTTAATAAAGTATCACCTTTGTCAATGTACCAGATCAAAGCTGCCACCCACACAAAGCATTCAAACCCTTCATTATGAACCTCAAAATTCAGTTTTCTAAAGAAAATAAACTCCTGAAAATATAGAGCTATGTGTCATCTCAGGCCACCACTCGTACCCTCTTAATGAATGCAATACATACCAACGTTGATTTATGTTCTCACCATCAGTCACTATGAAACTGTACTATGTAAGGAGTAGCTGTCACAGTCTAAATACTACTTAAAAGCACAAAGATTTAGAACCCAGACTCCATGCCTCTAAGAGCTTGTAATTTCACTCTCAGAGACAAAAACAAAAGAAACACAAAAGATGCTAAAGAACCAAGGCGACACACAAATACACAAAATTAGCTAACAATGAAGACTAAACCCTTACAAACTGAGGAAGTCTTTCTTTGCTGAGTGAAGTACCTGCAGCTAGTTCATTTAGAGCATTGTTTACGCAGCCAATAAATGACTGTGCATCCCCGGATTGTCAACAAGTCTAACGTTTAGGTTCATTTTAAAATACTGTCAGAACAAAAACCTAACCCAAGAAACAGAATTTATGAGAAATGTAATAGATATACTAGAATGGTTATAATTTCTTACTAATATGGACCCTGAGATTCCTCTCTTTTCTTGCTATCACCATCCCTAACAGCACCTTTGCTCAGATTTGTAGTTTGGAGCTAATGAACTGTGGCAGCATGAATGAGAACAGCTCCATAGGCCCAGATATTTGAACATTTGGTCTTCAGTTGGTAGAACCGTTTGGGGAAGATTGAGAGGTGTGGCCTTGTTGGAGGAAGCTTCTAACTGGGGCTGGACTTTGGGCTTTCAAAAGCCCAAGCCATCCATGCAGGGGATGTGGGGCTGAGTATGAGTGGGTGGGAGGGGTGTGTGTGTGTGTGTGTGTGTGTGTGTGTGTGTGTGTGTGTGTTTGTGGTAAGGGTGGGTACTATGTGGTGTATGTATATGTGTGTGTGCATATGCATGTGCTGAGAAGTGGTGTAAACAAACTCTCAGCTACTGCTCTAGCATCATGCCTGTTGGCTGCAAGCTCTCACCACAGCAGTTATAGACTCGCCCTCTGAAACTGTAGCCCCAATAAACTCTCTACAAGTTGCTTTACTCATGTGTTTTGCCACAACAACTGAAAGTAATTAATACATGTACCAAAACAAAAGCTGGCAGCACAAATAAAAAGTGACCCTGGCAAGGTCAAATACATATAGAAGAGAAAGAAAGAGAGGGGGAGGGAGGGAAGGAAGAAAAGTACAAATGCTCATGGGAAAGTACATTTTCTAAAACCTAGAGTCTAACTGGAGGCAGATCACCATCCTTCCAGCTGGAACTGTGGGGGACAGGGAGAAACACAATGACTCTCACAGCTGGAATCATGACGACTTGTTCTTACAGCCATGTTCCTATTGCTTCAAACTACATACAGATGTGTTGTCCTTCCTTCCATGTCAAATGCTTAGACTGACATGCTGCTTGTTTTTAATCTGCTTCAACCATTACAACCTGAGTCAATGAAGACTTCAGCTCCTCCTCCTCCCCAACAGGTCTCTCTTCTCCAAGTTATCTGTTGGCAGCTCTGAGATAGGGAATCTTAACTCAATTTATGGTCCTTCTTACTTTAATCCATCCAAAATTCCTCTAGGTAAAAGAACTGAAACATTTTAGTGCCTCTTTGGGGAAATGAGATTGATTTTTCTTCATTTTCATAGAAGAGAGTCCCTGGGTAGCAATACTGTGCCCAGTTACACCCACAACAGAAGAGTCCGTGTGGTAGAAGGGCTTTTGTGGGATTCTTGCACTGAGTAAACCAGGAGTTCACAGAGGTGACTCCTGACCAGGACACTGAGCCAAGGACATTCTCACCTGCCTATGTCAGTCACACCTACAAGCTAAAGCAGATGACATCTGATGAGGGGAAGCAGGTAAGACAATGGTGAGAGGGCCTCGCTCCACATTCTCCCTGTTTTCCAACCATTTCTTGTCCCTTCCCGTCCCTTCCCTTCCCTTCTCTCCACACCTACATGAGCCCACCATGTTCTAGCTTTAACTTCTTGCCCCAAAGATCATCATCAGTGGAAAAATGAACAAGTCCGTATAATTTTCAGGGAACTTCAACCACCCTTTTCCAACTCCCAATTTCATGAACTTATATGTTTTGCAGAACTACAGAAAGTTCAGATAGTGGTTTTACCTAAAGAAGAACGTAAGCTATTAGAACAGTAATGTTTCGATTCTCTCTCAAACAGTCTTCTGGGGGCTGCCAAACAACAGAATCAGCTGGTACGGAGAAAAAAGGGTACAAGCATGAAGCCTGCTAGCTAAGCTGGCTTTGCACCCCACTTAAAACACCTGTTCGGTCAAACCCTACCTCCCATCCCCTCATATGGACGAATGCTCTGAGTATACTCTACACGCATACATACTATCATCCAAAACTCTCCTCCTGGCTCTGGACACTGCCAGGGAGTCTTCAGAAGGATCTTCCCTGGATGTTAAGAAAACACCACTGTCTAACCACAGCTGCCTTCTCTGTGAGGACAACAGTGAGTGCAAAGAGCATTTCAGTCTTCACATTTCCACAGGAAAACACAGCACAGAACATGCTAGACAATTCCACAGTGCATCCACATACTAGGTATATAACTATCCATATACCATATAGGTTTTTATTTTGTTTTGTTGGGTTATATATTTTTTTTTTTGGTTGGTTTTGGGCTATTTTTGTTTGTTTGGGTTTGTGGTGGGCAACCTCCTTCTCAAACACCAAATGTCCATAAAGGAAGATAAAAATCAGTGCTGGACAGGAAGCAGAGGCAGGCGGATTGCTGTGAGTTTCAGGCCAGCCTGGTCTACCCAGAGAGTCCCAGGACAGACTCCAAAGCTACAGAGAGGAACAATTTAGTAACAATGAGTACTTACCTGCAGACGCGAGCTGGAAAATACAGTTTTTGCCAAGACCGACACAGGTAATGTGAATGATCTATCACTCTGATCCAATCAAGTTCATCCATGGACACTTCGATAAAATAGGAATAGGACCTATGAAGTAAAAAGAAAAAATATAGTACATCGACAATAAAAAACCAAAGTAAAATATTAAAAGGTACCAAACTACAGAATTCACTAATTACATTTCCTGTTTCAAAATCACATTTATCAAATTCAGGTAGCAATAAAAGCTGTATAAAACACTCTACAGTAGCATTTACCCCACATATTGACATTTCCTCTCAACTTGTCTTTCTGCCTTAATCAAATGATGAATTACTTAAGAGCAAAATGAGACAGAAGCTCCTTTTTCTTTGCATTGCCAGGATGCCTTGGCCAAGCCACATTAGCAGATTAATAAAGCCAAGAGGGAGGAAAGGAGAGACAGAAAACAGGAGGTTAGGACAGAGAAGGTACAAGGACAGAGAAGCAGGCCAGAGCGCTTCCTCCAGCCATGGCCTAGGTGCTCTACACTCCCTCCCTTCTCAGCAGGGAAGGCCACATGGAATGGAGGAACAGTTCCCCACAGAAGCCTGCTTATCTCCAGACACCTCTCAGTCCCCTACACCACACTTAAAGCAGCTTGCTGGAAAAATAAACAACATGGGAGAAAAAGATAATGCCTGTTTCTTTTGGATGTAACTTAAACCTTGCCAGCTAATAACCTGGCTGTAATGAAAATAGCCCATCATCCTTCCCTAGTCAGCTGCCCAGGACCATTACATGCTGGTCCCACACTGGAAAAATCTGTATCTCCTTGTCAAGAGCCAAATTTAAATTTGAGATGCAGTTATTACTTGGACTGTAATATCAACAGGAACAATCTTGGAAGATTTAGGTGACCATAAATGTCAGCCTGCAGCCCACAGTTGTGGCCAGAAAAGGTCAGCTTATTTTGTGTCAGGCCCCCATTTTCTGCTGTACCCTCAACTCCCATTCATTTTATTGCTCAGTCTCAAACTGGTTATAACCTTTTATTGAACTTCTCTGGGTTATCAGTAATGTGGGATATAATTTTACAACACATCAGAATCTTTTTGGCTTGAGATTTTTGAATTTTTCACCTTTACTTCAAATGTTAGCAATATTGTGAGAAAAGAACATGGTAAAGCGAAGTCCTCTGTGAATGTAACATAGATACCAAAACAAACTGGTCTATAAATATTTAACATCAGGGAAACAATAAGCTGTGCTTTCAGGTTCAAGCACACTAACCTTTTCCTTTATCATTTTTATTCCAATTTCATTATTAATTAGATGAATGAAATACGTAAAGCCTTTAGAGTACCTACCATATACAAGTAATGAAAGTGCAATATAAATAATATTACATTGTTACTAGCCAAGGATTCTTGGAAATGAGAAATATGAATGAACTCCAACCACTTTGTCAATTATGCACCAAAATTCACCTACATTTGAGAAAAAAATAATTTTTAAAGGATTTATTTTAGAGCATGAGTGTGTGTGTGTGTGTGTGTGTGTAAATGCCTAGAGTTACAGGTGTTCATGAGCCACCCAATGTGAGTGCTGGAAATCAAACTCTAGCCTTCTCCACAAGAGCAGCATGTGATCTGAACTACTGAGCCATCTCTCCAGCCCTATGAAATATATTCCTAATAAAAACAAAACAGAGCTATCACCTAGGGATCTCAAAAATACACTGCACAGACAAATGCTCTCACCTTGAAAAGATTTGTTCAAACATGACTTGAATGGCCCAAAAAGCCAAGGTGGTCACCAGTGTGCTAACCAGGACACACTCTCTTCCTTCCATGTGAGCCTGATAATGATAATTACCACTGAGCCGACAGGCCCAGACCCAAAAAGGCACAGCAGGATGCCTAGGTCTTAGGCCAAACATTAAGTATTAACAGAGACCATTTAGTTATGCTCATCACTGCCCTGGTGCTTCTGCCACACAGGGAATGGACCACAAGCCACAGTGGACCAAAGTATGACAGAGTTGCTGGGAGAAAAACACTCTTGAAGCTGCTGAAACCCACCCCATTTTTTTTTTTTTCCACAATTGGATTTTATTCCAAGGATGCTCCAGCCATAAGATGGTTAAGTATTTTAAAGGTATTCATAATATCCAACAATAAGGGATCAAATAAACAATGTTCACTTATTTGGAAGGTTGCCAGGTAACATTTCAAAACTAATACAATGTTTAAATTCAGTAATTGAAACATGAAATTAAAGCCAGGTGCAGTGGGTACACACATCTGTAACACCAGAATTTGGGAAACTGGCAGAAGGAATCCAAGTTTGAGATCAGGCTAGGCAAATTATCAAGACTCTGCCTCCCAAAAGGAAAAATTAAGAGTAAAGGTAAATTTTCCATATAGCTAATCTATGTTTTGTGAAACTATGCATGCAAAGACTTTGTAATATATAGGCATATGGATGCATATGTATGAGATAGACAGACAGATAACAAAGAAAAATAGTTAGAGACATACAAACTTAAATGATATTACCAGAAATTTTTATTTTCTTCTTTATGCTTTCTGTATTTTCCAAAATAAAACACTTATTCAGTGCTTGTGTATGAAGGGAACAAAAAGGGGCTAGAGAGATGGCTCAGTGGTTAAGAGCACAGGATGTTCTCCCAGAGAACAAAGTTCAATTCCCAACACATGTATGGTGATTTATAACTGCCTGAAACTTCAGTTGCAGGCGATCCACTGCCTTATTCTTGCCTCTGAGAGCATTGCACACACATGGTACACATACATACATGTAAACAGAACATTCACTCATAACACACAAAATCAAATACGAAAAAAACTTTACATTTTAAAAAGGGCATTTTAAAGAAATCTTCCTTTAACTTTTTTCCTAGAACTAACTGAGAGAAACATCAGGAGGATCACAAAGAAATAGGCCATTTAAACCTGCAAAAACTAAAGCAGATGGTCACTGAGCATCTAACAGCCTTTCCCAGTTCCTCTGGACCACTTCCTTGCTAGAGAGTTGTGCATTGAAAAAAATGCCTCCATAAGATGTAGCTGTAAGGCATTTTCTTAGTAATTGATGGAGAAGGGCCCAGACCATTGTGGGAGGTGCCATCCCTGGGCTGGTGGTTCTGGGTTCTATAAGAAAGCAAGTTGAGCAAGCCATGAGGAGCAAACCAGTAAGAGCACTCCTCCATGGCCTCTGCATCAACTCCTGCCTGCAGGCTCCTGCCCTGCTTGGGTTCCTGTCTTGACTTCCTCTGATTATAAACTGTGACATGGAAGTGTAAGGTAAAGAAACCTTTTCCTCCCCAAGTTGCTCTGACTGTAGTGTTTCATCACAGCAATAGTGACCCTAAGACAGAAGTGCTCTCTTTCTCAATAACTGCCCCCTTTTGCCAGTAAATAAAGTGGAGGGGAAGAGAAACCAAAGCAGATGACCAAAGAGTTAGGTCCTCTTCAGCAAACACAACATCAGCATCTCAAGACAGAAAGGCCTCACCGGCTGTCACGGTCCCACAGGAGGAGGCGTATGTGGTTGATAATGGATGGCTGGCCGAGCTTGATCTCAATGCCAGAGCGGCAGTCATCATCGATGGGATGCCTGGAGAATCCATGGTCCAAGTCATAATTTTGAGTGTCACCATCCAACAAGGCTGACTTCAGCTCTCCTTTCACAACCTGGGCTCCATACTTCATGGTTGCGATGTTTTCTTCTGGTACTGCAGTTAGAAATCCAGCAAGCACAGTGGTTATTTTTAATCATTCTATATGAATGAGGGAAAAGTGAACTTAAAGCATTCTAGTTGATTCCAGTATTTAATTTTAAGTTGTACAGGACAGGCAAGTCTATGGAAATGGAGAAAACAAAATGTCCACCAAGATTAAAATAGCATTCAGCACTCAAACTGAATGTCACTACACACCTACAGTGAGCCTGACACTGAACATTAAGAGAAAAATACTAGAAACACAAGTAGTAGGACAAACATCCTCTCTGCAGAGTTCATCCTGTTAGCAGCTTTAATTTAATGTCTGCTGAACAAAAACAGCACATCAGATGACCTGCATCCACCATCCAGACTGAGGACAGGTATATGGCAAACAGGCCAGACATCTGCTCAAACAAGAGAAGGAAGTTCCAAGTGTTAGACGAGTCAATTTGCCAAGCTGAGAAAATAAGGTTCTACCTTAAAGAAAATAAATATCACTTGAGTTTTGTCTTAATGAAAATTCAAAAGCTGTCATCAGAATCAGTGTTGTAGTTGTTTGAGGCCCTTCCTCTTTCCAATGAGAGATTACTGTCTGGGACTTTAAAGTCATCTCTAACACATCACATTTCACATGTAAGGAAGGTGTCTCCAAGAACTGATACCTAAACCTAAAACCAGCACTCTACATAGAGGACACAAAGCTGCATAAACATGCTTGGCGGCTGAGTCATAATTTAAACCAAGGCTGAACTGGATGTGTCACTTGGGAGAAACTACTCCTTTTAAATGTCAATTTCTTAAGAGGACAATGCCTATACCCTACATGTTCTCTGTAAAGACTGAGAAGATGCTTGTAAAACATATAGTATGTTCTTTAAAAGATAAGTCATTACTATATTTCACATATGTAAGAGAGCTATGCAGGTTTCCCAATGTGCACATAGAATTTGGCTATGTGGTATGAAGGGAAAAGTGAGAGACTTATCAGATGTACAAGAAGACAGTAGGGAAGAGGTCAGTGCTGCAGATATGGTGGGAAATTGGGTTTGGGGAAGTTTACAAATGAAAACAGGTAACAGTGGCTCCAGAAGAGGACAACAAATGGAGCTAAAAGCAAAGGCAAAAGACTAAAGCAACTCAGCAAAACAAACTAAGCCACTACAGCAATGCTCAACAGCTGAAGCAAGGACTTATACTCAATGCCGATGACAATCAGTATTCTTCAGACACTGCCCATCAGTATCCTTCAGACACTGCCGCAAGCACTTTACAAATGTTAATTCCTTTGATTTAGTCCCCAGAGCACAGCATAGCCCTGCAGCTATCACAAATGAGACACAGAAGAACAGTAAAGCCCAATGAACTTACTGTCCAGCACGCAGCAGAGCTGTGTCAGACTCAGGCATCCAGGGGGCCCAATGCTAGTTTAAGACTCTGATCCTCCTTCATAAGCCAATTTTGATGGGATTGTCACCTATAGCTCTGACAGTGGGACTTGTGTCAAGCCTCCAAGCTTAGACACTAGAGCCACCTTGACTTTGCTTAAGATAAGCTTCTTTCAGGACTAAAATCTATCAAGCCCTGAAAAACACACCAGGCCCAAGAGTCTCTAATGATTAACAGCTGAAATCTAAAGTAGACATGAAAGTTTACTGGGACCAAGTCTTCTCTTAAGTTTATTTCAAGAGTACTTGAGTGTTTTCTAGCCATTTTCAACAAGTTCATTGCCCGGGAGCATCTTCCACTCCAACATGAAGATCATTTACACAAGTGGAAATTCCCTCATGGCAGCTAGAATATGAGTACACTGCTAGGTAAAAATACAGCTCCAAAATATTTTTTTTTCTTCCAAATCTATAATTAAATGATGAATTTAAAAGGAAAAGTAATCCTGGAAAAATCTAAATTACAAAAGTATTCAAACCATGAGTATTCCTCTTAGTACCTGTATCTCTCTATCCATGAAGAATAAAACTCAAACAAACGAACAAAAAAGGCAGCAGCAGGGATTGAGCAAGATTATAAATGGTGATCTAAACTATCTTTATATTTATAATTTATATTTTATAGCTATTAAGAAAAAATTGATCTTTAAAGTCCTATAGCTAGGTAAAAAACCAACCCACCATTAGACATGGGAAAGTGGGGGAAGGTGGGGTTATTTCAAGGCCCTTCCTCTCTCCAACTCAGATTAGTGTCTAGGACTATGAAGTCATCTATACATCAAGTTTCACAGGTAAGGAAGGTGTTCTCAGGTACCAACACCTAATCACCGACAGGAGGCTGCATAAACATGCTCACAGACAGGCGGAGTCAGAATTCAAACCAAGCTACACATCGGCAAAAGCTAAGCATGGGACTAATTACCCTGTGTTTTCTTTTATGTCCTAACCATCATTTGTGACACAGCACTTGAGACAGGCAGGCATTTATACCAATAAATTATTTGGATACAAAATAGCTCTGTCCACTAGAATCTCTCTATCCAATTCTGTCACCTAAGTCATCTCCTATACTCCCCTGACCAACTTCCTGGAATGTAAGGATCCCCCACCCCCATTCCTTGTGCCTCCCACAATATTTCCTAACAAGCATGTCATTACAAAAGACTTTCCCAAGGCTCCAGTCATGCTTTAACTTTCCCCATTAATCTACTATTTGTAGGCTTCTCAATTCTGGTACTCAAACATACAAACTGGAAACAAAAAAGAAACCAGACAGAAGAAACGATGAGAGAGCATCTGCTTCATGAGGCACAAGTCCCACAATCTGGTCCCAGGCTAAGTAACTCGAGGAAGTTACCAAGGAAGGGCATGCAGCTAAACAGGACCACCATCCATTTCTTTAAAGAAACAGGTGTTCGAAGCGGCCTCCTACTCAGCCCTAGATGTTCAGCATCTGATAGGACACTAAAGACCTCCACAAAGGAATGTACCCCAGAGATGATACAACAGTACAAGGAGCAAAGAATCTTAAAAGGTTAGGTCCATGTTACAGCTGTCTTCATGTGGCAGGAGAGAAAGACTTCAATTCTAGTCTAGAAACAAGGAAAGGATTCACTCAGCCATATATTTTTAAAATCTTGATTCAGACACTGTGTCAGGTGCTAAAAGACTACAGGCAAAAAAGGATCCAACTATATCTCGAAGATCTAATGAGCACATGTAGACAAAACACCAATTATATCACAGTTGCAAAGATCCCTAGTCCAGTGACTGGGAACCACATATACATACACACACCCCAACAATTTACCTCAGCAATCAAGAACATTGACTTTTACTCAAAAAAAAAAAAAAAAAAAAAAAAAAAAAAAAAAAAACCTGAGGCTAGAATCTATGATACAGCTCTCTGCTATAAACATGCCGAAATAAGAAATTACTGTTCTCTTTCCCAGTCTAAAACATGAAATAAGCCAGGCAATGAAGGCACACGCCTTTAGTCTCAGCACTCGGGATGCAGAGGCAGGCAGATCTCTGTGAGTTTGAGGCCAGCCTGGTCTACAAGAGCTAGCTCCAGGACAGCCTCCAAAACCACAGAGAAACCCTGTCTCAAAAAAACCATGAAATAAACAAAATAAAGTATAACTCAGCCTCATTAGAAAAAGCACTGACTTTCAAGACAGAAGCAGCTCCAGAGGTAAGAGAAAACTAAATGTTCAGGGAATGGAACAGAGGCAGTTCAAACAGTCTAAGGAAAAAAGTAATTCCATTAAAAAGCTCATTTCCTTTCCCTAGCTGAATAGATAAATGTTTATTATATATGCAAAAACTCAAACTACCTTCTAAAGAAACCAACCTCATCACTGAGTAAAAACTTCTTTGGGATCACCCTTTTGAAATGGAGTGGAATCTGCAATTTAGTAACACTTTGGGGTAGGCATCTGAGAGAGAATCTTCCAGAAACCAACATTATAAACTCACAGCAGCAACAACTGTGTTGAGACAGGCCCTCTGCATTCCCAATTAGTAACTAGAAACACCCCAACACACACACACACACACACACACACACACACACGCACACACACACACACGCACGCACGCACGCGCGCACATACCCCAGGGAAGAACGCAGTCACAAATCCCCCAGCAGCTCCAAAACCAACAAAGCTAGCTTCAAAACCATCAGCCTAACACTTCTGAGACGTTAGACCTCATTTCCCAATGAGAGAAATGTGCTAAAATAATCACCTGAATGTTTGGGTAGTTCTTAGAAAATAATCTCTTTAAAAGGATCTGTTAGGAATGTACTGTGCTTCCTCAGTATTTTTACCACTAATTTTACTACTTAAATACTATAGAAGTCAGAAAAATACCCTGCTATTTAAATATTACTCAGTGATTTCGTGATTATCAAACTTTCATAATCTATTCCTTGTGCTCTGCCTGAATTTCTCCAAAATGATGAATTTAACATTAATAAGCAATAACCACAGTAAACACATCATTCCAGAACTGAGTACGTCAACCAGTCCTTTCCTAAGGTCTCTCCCAGATTTCTAGAATCTGTGACTTACACATGGGCTGACCAGCCAATCAATTCCAAGAGACCAGTATGTATGACATGCCCAATATACCTAACACCTACATCCATGATCCAACCCATCTTCAACAAATTCAGTTCTAGAGCCCTATCAGCCAATCATAGGGAAGAGGGGAGGGACTTACATAAAAGGATAGAAATGAGGATTTGGGAAGTGTAGAATTCACTCATCTTGTATGTCACCTTTCACCCTCTTACTCCAGCCCCTCCAATTGCTTCCTAGACCTCTCCAGTTCCTTCTCTGCAGCTACACCATTGTTCCTCTACTGCCTTTTGCCCCAATTCACAAGGCAACACACTTAGAAGCATTATCCTTTCAAACACAATGGCTTTAGACTATTCACAAACTTGCACCCAATTTATATCCGAAGCCCTCTCAGTTCTCATTCACCTTGACCATCTGGCATCATGAGACTTACTGACTGCCTCTCCTTATAGCAGCTCTCCCCCAATTAGCTTCTGTGGCCGCCTTCTCTGCTGTGTCCCTGCCTCTCCAATTCCTTCTCCACCTTAAGCCTCCAGCCTATAGATGTCCAAGTCTTTGACTTTGTTTTTTTTTTTTTTTTAACTTCTTTTTCTATACTCTTACCCAGAGATTTCAACTCTTTCTATCACTAGCTTTGACTGCCCCCTGAATACAAGTAATATGCTTCTACTTCCTATCAGCCCTGTTTCCTGAATTCATCCACCAAGGATTCCCTTGCTTTCTGCTGGTCAGTGTGTTGAATGGTCAGGATAAAAGATTAATAAGTCAGACCCACAGAAAACACTGTCTTCAAAATCCAAAGTTAAGTAAAAAAAAAAAAAAAAAAAAAAAAAACTGTTTACAAGACTGTTGTGGGTGTTGACAATTTACACAATGCATACAGAGATGAGGGAAGCCACTAACCCAGATAGCAATAGGTCCTGTACTGAGCTCACATGCTGTATTTACACAGATTATTCAAATTAGTTCTCAAGACTTAAAATCAAGTTTGTCTGACTGAGGGACTCAGGAGACAGCTCAGTCTACAGAGTGCTTATCAAACTAGTGGTGAGGACCTAAATCATTTCCCAGGGCCTACATAAAAGCCAAGTACAACAGCACACAGTTGTAAATCCCAGCGCCCTGGGGAAACACAGGTGAATCCCTGGGGTCTGCCACCAAGTCATTCAGCCTAATCAGTGTGCCCCAGGCCCCAACCAAAGACCATGTCTCAGAATCACACCCAATGCCTCCTGAGGCTCATCTCTGACCTCCACATGCATGTGCACCCAAAAAATTTGTGAGGCCAAAGAACCATTTGTCAACTGAAAAGAAATCTAGATCTGACAGCTCAGGAAATAAGCCTGTGCTAAGGACATCTCATTTAGAACCTACCAGCATCTCAAGAATGTCTCAAACTAGTCAAGGAAGGTAACACCCCAGGAAATGGCAAAATCCAGAAGTCCTCAAGCTGACTAACCCAAAGCTGAGCTCAGCATCTCTCTGCAGCAGCACTGCTGGTTCAGTGGCCGAGGACATAAAACATGCTGGGGTTAACCAGCACTGCTTACAGAGCATCCTAAGATGAGGTCTTGGGACCTTACTCCTCAATTTTCAATCCTCCCATCACCGAGCTCTAATGTACCCTGCTATACTTGTGTCACTTTCCACCTCTCTGCCATCACCCACTGAGTCAGTTGAGCAAACTAAATTCCCTCCTCACTGGTCTTCCTGAAGCCAAACCACCCTGGCAAGCATCACCATGGTGTGCAGGCCACTCTCAAATAAGCTTCTTATTGTAGAGAAGGGAGGTTTGAAGCAGCTTTCAAAGACCTCCATGGTCTGAACTGGCAGGCAGCCATTTGATCATGCAGCAGCATATGCCTTCTGCTCTATCAAGCCCTCCAGTCCTGGCCTGAGATACACAACTCTATTCATCTCACCTATCTTCAAAAATGGCACTCACACAATCACAATGCCACTACAACCGAACAGGAGTTGCATGCCCTCACCTCAATCCTTTGAAGCCACCTTTCCCTGAAGCTAGTGTTGTGTTTAGCTTGTCACAGACCTTCTCTCTTCCATGATGAAACCGGAAGGGTCAAAAATAGAGGCTGTTCTTCACTTCTGCTGCATAGTTTAAGAGTTAAAGGCACAGCCTACAGAGGCAAGCTACGAGCGGTTCTCAGTGCATCATCCTCTGTGTGACTTTGGGCAAGTTACCTAGTTCTCTGCCTTTCATTGTCTTCATTTGTAAAACAACCAGTTAAAAACAGGCTGCATCTCCTCAATGGGATGTGAGAAATGAATGGTTATGTGATCCTGATCCTGACACAGAAAGCATTTGATAATTGTTAAATGCTATTATTACATTTGCAAGAAATATCAGACTACTGTTATTAACATCAGCCATTGTCACCATTAGAATTACCAGGTGTGGTACCTCAAGAATCTGGTACACACAGCATACATGCAGTTCTTGCTACAGGAAGAAGGAAAAGTCTCAGTTTGACAAGCAACTTTTCAGGAAAGTGTGTACTGACATTCTGAGGAGCAGATGGACAATGTCCAGGAACGACAATAGCTGTGCTGGATTGGCAGTAGCTCATCCTGTTAAGGTGAATGACAAAGAAAGCAGAGCCCTGGCATATGCTATGCATACCTGCACCACAGTTCTACAGTTCTGCAGTTAGGACTGGCAGAAGATGAGATGGGGAAACATACTTACTGAGCATGCCTCTGTAGTTGAGGTCCATGTCCCGGCTCTCTGAACGCACTTTAATGGCGTCTAGAATAGCATCTGGAGACAACAGTCCCGAAGGCCTCACAACATTCAGAAGCTCAGTGAGGCTCATCAGAGGTAAACGTACAGCCTGCATGATTTCAGCATGATTCTCCTTTGCATTGTGCTTACACCAGTTTAACAAGGCTAAGAAAATATCTTTCTCAGGAGCAGCAAACGAATCTCTTAAAACGATGTTCAGCAGTGCTGTCTGCAAAGGAAGAAAAGGGAGCTTAAGAGTCAGCATGGACAGGCATATGAGCATAGCCATGGAGTCAGCAGCAGAGCCCCACCAGACCACAGTAGCATTCCCTTCCCTTCCCTTCCCTTCCCTTCCTTGTACCTTAGCCTTCCTATCTATTCCCTTCTCCCCTCTGGCAATGTGAACAAGCAATAGTAATGAGTCAGGTCTGGCAGCTCAAGCTTGTAATATCAGCATTTGGAAGGAGATAGAGGGATTACTGTGGATCTGAGGTCAGCCTGGGCTATATAGTGAATTCAAGAGCATGGGTTACTTCCAAAAAAAGGAGAAGCAACTTTCCTACTCAGGCCTTTTGTATCACTATATAAGATAATTAGTCTCCCCAATACAGTTATAGCCCATATTCTCTTGTTTTAAAGAGATTTACTTAGTTTTTAAAGTTATAATATAGAATGAGTAACTTTTCCATACATTGTTTTGCTCGTATGTGTAACACTTCTCTGCCCCGCTCCCCCTTTCCATGGCCCTCCTCTTGCTGGTGCTATCTCTGGCTCCCATTCTCTTCTTTAAGATCTTCTTAAATGTGTGCATTCTCTTAAAAAGTGTGCATTTGTAAGTCAGTAAGATAAGCCTAGAATTAAAAACCATGGTTTTAGTCCTTGGCTCTCTGGACTGACTTCCATAAACACTAACGCAGCCCTCAAAATTTCTTGCATAAAGTGGAATAACCCAAAAAAAAAAAAAATCAGAATTCATGCAAATCAAGACACATAGCTCTTTATATGCACACATACACACACACAGAGAGAGAGAGAGAGAGAGAGAGAGAGAGAGAGAGAGAAAGAACAGAGACACAGAAAGACAGAGAGCCACACTCCAGGTTCAATAAACTGTAAACCAGCAAGAAGAGGAGCACCAACAGTGACTTAAGAGACATCCACCGGCACTTCAGATCTCATTTATGAAATTTCCCTCTATATCCCAACCCTAAAGACTTCCCTTCTGCCAAAAAAAAAAAAAAAAAAAAAAAAAAAATCCTAGTTATATTCAGTTATATTCTATGTCAGAGAAACACAACATCAAAAAACAATATACAAAAAAAAAAAAATCTTGACTGTCATATTAAAACCAACTACCCAGCAGAGTAACCTTGAAAAGAGAAAGAAAAATGGAACCAATAGCCTTAAAGACCTCGTGTCCCAGAAGCCAGGAGCAAGTACTAGACCAGATGACTTCTCTGAGACCACTGTGGTGTGGTCCCCATGAGAGTACAAAAGCATGCCGAGGAGGAAAGGAGGGCAGAGAAGCACACACCTTGGAGAGGGAGAGGAAACCTTCACTGGCGAGCACCTCCTGGGCATTTCTGTCCATGAACATGCAGCACATGCAAGTTAACTTGGGGAGTGAGTAGAGACTGGCAACATCAAAAGTCATACAGACGTTCTGAATATTAAGTATGGTGCAGAGGTACTCAGAAGTAGAATCCTCTAGCTCTGGAAATCCATATTTATGAGCCAAGCTCAAAAACTCCAGCAGCACCTCCTCCTTCTCATCAGTCAGTGTCGCCCGCCCAGTATAGATGTATTTGAGCAGCATGGTGAATGCTTCTGCAGTGGTGTCTTGGAGGGGGATTTCTGCTTCAGGCTGAGACTCTCGCATCCCACCATACAGTAGCGCTCTGCACACCAGAGAAGAAACAGTCAGAAAACCTCAAGTACTACTGGCTACAAAACACATGTAATAATGCTTACCAATACTATACAGACATAGATTTGCTTAATGACACAAAGATTCAGGTGAAGAATGCTCAAATGACTGTAAATGATCCTTTAAAAGAAACATGAGGAATAATTTAAAAACCATTCTGAATTAGTATCATAAACAACTGAGCTAAATGAGATAGCCTGAGAATGCAAGATTACACACAAAGCTGGAAGTCAGCTTTTGGAAGGAACGATGAACTCAATATAAAGATGTTCCAGGTCCACAAGCAGTTTAGAAAGTAAAACCCTATAGGAAAATGAAAAGACACACACTAATGGGAGCCTCTGATATCAGCACAATGAGAAAACTGCCATGTTTTAAGGGACTATGTAAATGGGCCCCTCTTTTTTGCAAGTAATTTAGTAATATACCTATTCAAATCTGAAATGTGCATACCCTTCGACACAGTAATTGTTCTTTTAAGACGCAATTAGAAAAAATATAATTCATTAATGATATAAAGGAATGAATACTGAAACATTGGGGAAAATCAAAATGTCAAGATAAACATGGTTGAAACACTGTGACATGCATATTCTACATGACCATTTCCTAATGACCAGTCAGAGTGAAGGGAGTTTGAGGCTTACTGTGAGAAGTCCCCTCTTGTACAGCTAGTACACCCTTGCCAGGAAACTGATAAGCTCTGGTGACAAGATTTAATCAGGACCCCTCCCCACTCCACCCTAACTGCTGCTGTTAAGTTTGCTTTGCACAAGGATACTGTTATCAATGAGAATCTAAAAGAGTTTTGGTGGTGGCATGAGTTTAAGCCCAAGTGAGTCACAAAATACTACAAGGGCTCAATATCCACAGAAGGTCAATGAGAGGAATGTATTCTATTAGCTCAATACCAACTTCAAGTTTCTGAAAATTTTTACATTTCTTTTAAAGAACATAATGATCACATGACATTCATATAGTTTGCTTTTTCTTTTTCCGCAATTGATCCACCCCCCCCCACCTCCCTTACCCCCCGAGACAGGGTTTCTCTGTGGCTTTGGAAGCTGTCCTGGAACTAGCTCTTGTAGACTAGGGTGGCCTCAAACTCACAGAGATCCGCCTGCCTCTGCCCCTCGAGTGCTGAGATTAAAGGCATGTGTCACCACCGTCTGGCTCCCAATTGATTCTTAAGGAGAATAAAATATACAGTATTCAGAAATAGTAAACATAAGGCCAAACGGTTCTATGATTACTCAAGAAATGGTCTTTAAAAAGCACTTTCATAGTAGTAACTAGACTAAATGCAAGGAAGGGAAAAGGAAAGGCATGTTAAGGACAGGAACCATAAATGACAGCCATGCTAAGGCCAAGTGTTATGGAAACTGACCCTTAGAAAGGGTGACAGGTTCTTGATGATTTCTAAGCTTCTGATTTCACTTCTAGTATTTTCTTTGTAAAGACTGGGAAGTTGTGAAAATGCCCATAAGTTAACTATGGTAGTTCTAGCCAAAGAACACACACTCCCAAGAAACACAATGATGGCGGATGTGACTCCAAAGTGTGCCTACTGTGCTGTCCCCGTCAAACGAATTTTCCCTAAGCCACCAGGCATCTTGACTTCTCCAGGTAAAACTGTGACTGTATATAGCAGGCTGTATCATAATATACAGACAAAGGTTTAGTAATGCCAAAGATAAACAACTACATAAGCAGTAAGTCACTGGTGGTTTCCACTTAGCCAACATGAGATAAAATGTAAGAGATCAGTAAATTTTATAACCTGGAAAATTCATGATCTAAGAAATAGCTATCTATAAGTGGGGTTTCTTACATTTATAAAATATGCATATATATACATATACATAAACATCTGTATATAGTTTTATTTCTAATGTAACTCTGAAAGTCTTGGTCAATACTTGTTTCTTTTAGTAAGATCAAACATATCTGAGAGCTCTGTTAGGTGACTCATAGGTGTTGGCTGAAGTCATCCAAGGCCAAACCACACACATTCTGGAAAGTCCACTCACCTGTATGATGAGAGCCCAGCCCACCAGTAACTCAGTGTAAACCCATCAGTCACCTACTTGAGCAGAGGGTAAAAGTGACAGACACATAGCTTGAGAAAGGCTCTTCAGACCTTCAGAAAGAGTTATTGGTACTATCTGGGCCAGACAGCTTTCTAACCCCTTAATTCTCAGCTGGCTCCTAAAGAAAAGGTAACTCTCAGAAAGTAACAAATCCACAAAGAAAAGGTTCTTTTCCACATTGTACTAAAGGATCCCACTTGTTGTTACACTCAAGTTACATATTTTTCACACAATGACTTAAATCTAAAAAGAAAAAATATACTTACCGAAAATACTGGCACCTAGCTGCTAAAATGACCCTGTGGGCAGGAAAGCGCTTCTTTTCCACAACAAATGTGACGTCACCATATTCTTCACCAATCAACAAGGCACCAATATGCTCAGACAAAATGTGCACATGATCAATTTCCCCCACTGCAGTAAAGGGGCGAAGAGGGTGGCTGTTACTCATTGTGTGGAATAGATGGTAGTCACTGACCTGTCACACAAAGGAGGATTGTGGGTTGGTGAGGAAGTTACAGGCACAGAAAAATCACACATCCTATCATCCAACCAAACTTTACTCCAAAGTTCATCATCAATGTTTTGGTTTGTTTTTCTTTTTGAAATAGTCTTCAAATATTCAGTCTAGGCTAGCCTAACAGTCAATATAGATCAGGCTATCCTAAACCTCACCATCCTCCCACCTCAGCCCAAAGTGTCAAAGGTTTCCTTTTTCAGATGATGATGATGATGATGATGTTGTTGTTGTTTGTTTTTTAAGACAGGGTTTCTCTGTGTGGCCCTGGCTGTCCTGGAACTCACTCTGTAGACCAGACTGGCCTCAAACCACAGAGATCTGCCTGTCTCTGTTTCCTGAGTGCTGGGATTAAAGATGCACCACCACCACCCAGATGATTTCCTTTTTATTAATCTACTTATTCTAAGAAGCAACTCAAGCTGTTTCAAATGACCTTAACTGCCTCATTGCAGTAGGAAAGCAAAAATGCCTGGATATTCACATACTAGCAGTGCTTGGAGCCATCACAATCTAGAAACACAAGCTCTATACCAAACAGCACCTCATGGAACAGAAAACCAACCAGCCAAGGATGCCAGCATTGCACACAGACTGATTTAGCAAGGCTGGCTTTCCAGTGCAGATCTAGGAATAAATTACAAACTAAATTTAATAACATTTTTATGTAAGAGGTTTTGGTCTGAAACCACCTTAAATAATTTATGAAAAAAAAAACCAACAATCTTCTGTGATCACAAAAGTGACTTGCTTTATTAATAAAAAAGACTTGCTTTAATAATAAAAATTTACAGGAGCACCATAGCCCTCTTTCAAAATGAGAATCCATCTAGCATATTCTTTAGACTGCTACTTCTCAGCCCGGTGAAGTGCCATGCACTTCTAATCCCAGCGCACTCCAGAGGCCAAGGCAAGATTATGGGTTCAAGACCAGCATGAGGTACACAGTAAGATTCCTATTTCATGCTTGTGGCTCTAATGATGAGAATACCAGAATTTCACTATATTTATAGGCACTGCTTTGCCTTTATGTGCAGTCTGTCTATAAAAATAAATGAGAATCAAGGGGCTAGAGCTTGAATAACACATTCAAAAGGAAAGTTAAGACTTTAGCTAGAACTGCTTTGAAGGTTTTATTTGTAAGCATGTCTTTTTCAGATGTAGTATCGCAGCAAATTCATGAGGGTCTTTACTAGCCTTCAGATCCCCAGGTATAAGAGGTGCCTGGTGGCTCAGAACTAGCCTCTATATTGCACAGAGACCAAGGAAACTGAGCCAAATACAGTCTTCATTGGACCTCCACCGTCTTCAATGATGCTTGAACCAGCAAAAGCCTGAAGAGCTCTCATCGTCAAACTTCCACATGCAGATCTGTTCCTAGCAAGGTGTATGAAGTCTGCCTACTGTGACTGCAGGGAAACCTTAATGCACAAAGTTCTTTAGCTGCTTGTTATTACATGACCAGTCCAAGAGAGAGACCACCAACAGCAAGAGCTGTGATGAGAGAACATGGACGCCTGGCAGCATCCTCCTCTGTTGCCAAAGGGTGATGGTTTGATAGGTTCATATGCTTGAATGGCTAATCCCCAATGTGTGTCATTGTTGGAGGTGTGACACTGGGGAAAGGCTTTCAAGTTTCAGAAGACAGCTCATTCCCACCATGCATATCCCACCTCCTCACGGTTTGGGATGTGAGCTCTCGGCTGTTCCTCCACATGCCTTCACTCCACCATCACAGACCCTACCCTCTGAAACCATAGTCCATTTACATGCTTGCTTTTAGAAACTGCCTGGGCCATGGTGTTTTAGCACAATGAAAAAGAAAACAGGACACAAAACTAACTCCCTTTTCCTCAATTGTAGCTTCTACCTCAAAGAGTCAAAACTCAACCGCCTTCAGTCATTTGTACATGAAACACCAAATGCACCTTAATAGGGCAACTTCCAAGCATTAGCAACAATAGAAAATGTGTACTACGACAATTTAACATAGAAGTTGGGGCACTCTCTATAAAGGTTTCATAATAAATACTTTTGGCTTTCTGGCACTACACAACATTGTCACCCATATTCAAGTCTGCCTTAAGAACTTAAAAGCAGCTATAGGCAATAAGTAAATGAATGAACACAGCTGTGGGGGTCTAACAAAGCCATTTCAAAAAAGAATGAGAGAATCTCTGAGTGACTAGCTCATTGCCAACATAAGAGTCTGGGTTCCACTCCAAAAAACCCACATTAAAAAGCAAAACCTGGGGCTAGAGAGACAGCTCAGCCCTTAAAGGCTAAACTCACAACCAAAAAGCACACAACCAAAAAGCAAAACCTGGGGGCTGGTTCAGAGGTTAAATGTACTAGCTGCTCTTCCAGAAGACCCCAGGTTCAATTCCCAGCACCCATATGGCAGCTTACCACTATCTATAACTCCAGTTTCAGGGGTTCCGACACCCTCACACAGACATACATGCAGGCACACCAATGCACATAAAATAAAAATAAATAAATCATTTTTAAAGAAAGGATATGATGGAAAACAAATTGTAATCCCAATAATGAAAAGCAGAGATAGGTGGGTCCCTGGGGCTCAATGGCTAGCCAGTCTAGTCTACTCAGTGAGCTGCAGGCCTTTGGGAGACAGTACTGAAAGAAAGACAGAGGGAGGGAGGAAGGAAGGGGTTGGGGGGGAGGGAGGTAAAAAAGAAAGGTAGATAGTGCTTCAGGATGGATTAAGACCCAAAATTGTCCACTGACCTCTGAGACACAAACACAGGCATAATACATGCACTTGCATACAAACACTCATATTTAAAGCAAAAAAAAAAAAAAAGCTTTGATCAGTAAGTCACAGTTTGCCAAATACTTGACTAACTTGATCAAGAACTCTAGATGAAGGGATCAGACAGGTTTGAGATTTTTCTTTTCTGCTAGTTTATCCCACTTCCTATGTTCAACCACCAAACTCTGAAAGCTACTAAATTCTGACTTTAAATCCCATTCCTCCCACACTCACATCACTCTGCTACTCCAAACCAAACAGCCTATTTGCACTGATAGTATGCACCACATGAGCTCATGAATATCCTCTGGTGTAACATCTCTTAGTATTCATCTAAGTCATGGCCAAGACTCAACCCACTGCTGAATGACTCTGGCTAAACAATGACTGATTTTCAGTTAACTAGCTCAGTGGGATATTTACAGTTCATCAGCTGACAAATCATGAACATTAATTCTGGATATGTAAATATCTGCCTTAATGGGCTCACCAAATCTTCACTTCTCAATACAATTTCACTTTACTAAATTTACATTTTAATTATGTTTTTCCAAGTGGAAATATAAAGTGAATAGCTCTAGATACAGAAAGCATCCACTTAGTGTAGAATAAACACAATTTTTTATTGGCATATAGAAATAATTTTAATTAGACCAGTGATTCTCAACAAGCTTGCCATACACTGGAAACACAGAAAACTCAAAAAATGAAAATAAGATGCTTGAGTCCCACCCTTCAGAGTCTTATTCAATTAGTCTGGAATGGGACACAGGCACCAAAGACACCATACTAAAGTGATTCAAAGAGCACTGTGGGAGGGAAGGAGGGAGAGAGGAAGAGAGGGAGGGAGGGAGAGAGGAAGAGAGGGAGGGAGGGAGGGAGGGAGAGAGGGAGAGAGGGAGGGAGAGGGAACTGGGATCGACATGTAAAATAATAAATTAAATTAAAAAAAAATGCTTTGACTCCAAAATTTAAGTTCAAAGACAAGTTACTGGGGAAAAGGATTTCTATTTTTGTTTCCACAGAAAATGAAAAGATGTGGATTCCTTCCAGACTAATGTGGTTTGATCAAGCCAGAACACCTGAAACAGAGTACCAGGTGATCCTACATTCAAAACAGCTGGACAAAGCAGCCTTACAGACTACAGCCAGGATTTCTGAATCTTCTTTGAATCCCCCTGACAGTGCCCCTTACCAGCAGGAAGTAGTTTGGAAAGAATGATGCCCAAATTCCCAAATATTGTCTATAAATGTTTGTTTTCATTTAAATGGACGAGGTTATATACAATAAATAATAATAAAAAAAAAAGAGTACTGTGGAGAAGAACCATCAGTTTAGATTGCTGTGGGTTCACATTATGGTTTGAATATGGTTTGTCCTTTGATCACAGAATCATGGAATCAACAGGTGATAGACTCAGGAGATAGCAAGTAAGTTTAAGAGATGAGCCCACCCACTGGGAAGTCTTGAGGACAAAGGGATTAAGGCAGTTCTCAAGGGACCTTTTACAATTTTCTCAAGAGTTGAAATTACATCAAGCTTAGGCCCACTAAGTTCTCTGGCCTCCTGTTTCAAGACATCTTTTCTTCCTTCTGTAAGCATTGCAGCTCAGACAGAAAGGGATTCTGGCACTCTGGAGCCAAAGAATACCAAGTGTTACAGCTCGGATGGAAAAGTATTCTGGCAATTGGGAGCCAAAGAATACTACAGGTCACACTAAGCATAGCAGCTTACAGACCTGCTTACACACACACACACACACACACACACACACACACACACACACACACACACACCTACCTACCTACCTACCTACCTACCTACCTAACAGCTTCACTCCAGCAGGAGAGGCAGGGGAGGACTTTCCCAGTGAAGTTGCTGCAGTTTGGTTCCTGTCCCCCCAAAAAGTGTTACAGCCTCCCTAACTAAAGTGTTACAGCCCTGCTCTGCTCTGCTCTGGCTCCTGCAAAAAGTTGTTACTTCTCTCCATTCAGGAGAAGAAGTTCTCACCCAAACCTCATTCAAGAGATATTATTGGGAAGGAAGAATCCAGCAGAGTGGCTACCTCTGCCAGGGTGGAAGAAAACAGTCTCAAACTCAACAAGCACAGAATTTATATAGGGCTTCTTAGGAGTGGAGTTTTTCCAGGGAGATTTCCAGGGTGGTGATTGGTTAGGTTTCAGTATC